CAATCTCCAAGTTTCTGCAAGCAAGGAATGTTCAAGCTTCCAAATCTCTGAGAAAAATGTGTAGAGCGTGGAGGAGATTACATAGAGAAATGTCAACAGTATTTTTTTATTGTTTTATGAATAAATAAATATTAAAAAAGCATTCGGGGTTATATTTGATCCACCCTGGTAGCAAGTGTTTCAGTTGGTTTCAGTATTACACTTCGGTAATAAGTTTTAATACTCTTTATAATCCCTTAGTCAAGTGGTTGACAAGCTGATGCACAATAAGGGGAGATTTTTGTATTATTTAAGCGAATGTCTTTTGGATGAGATTCCGCATTGTCTAAAAATAAAAAAATTTTTGTTTTTTCATTAGCTATTTTTCAAACTAGGTCTTGCAATCACTCTGCCATGGCAATTTAATCGAAAGCCTGTACCCAAAGAATAAGAACGGATTTCCACTGGAAAGCAATACTTAACTTCGGATGACCCCATAGAAAATAACAGAAAGTCCGGAGTTTGTCTACCTTTGTGTTAAACAACTCACAACCATATTGAAGATGTAACTGAATAAGACTTTACCTTAGCTAATTTGAAGAGTCTATGACAAAGAGATTGTAGTCTTGGATTGTTATTTGGAAATTACAAAGCACCGAATCCAGTTTTGAATGATTCAAAAAGTACCTTTGCGAAAATATTGTTTATTCTGTATTAAAACGAAGCAGTTTTTCAAATATTATCAAATAAATGGTCCAAAGAACGCCCTTTGGATTTTATCCTCTGTCAGTAGTTGACCTACACTCAGACTGTATATGGCAGAAATGTAATTATTTTTACCAACCGTTTTAGAAACTTTTATACCTGAAGATGGCGTTTAAAGTCGCCGAAACGTAGTATTTTAAATAAATATTTTAAGTTGACCAAATCCCAGGCATTTATAACTTGAATATTGATATGAACGGCCAGGAATCCAAAACTGCAAAAATGCCCCTATATACATGTATATGTCGTAGCCATATCGTTAAACTGGCGATTTCATGAAATGTTCGAGTATTTCACGAAATGGCTAACTATATTTGACCATATCGTTAAATCGTCAACGTTTAGCGATTTGGTCCTCCACGATTCAGCATCTCCATAGAATATTTATTAAGAATCCAAAATATGTTACGCACTCCGTTTTTTGTTCGTTAAGAACGATACATATTTTTATTGAAACTAGTCACTTTAGGAAATTAAGTTAAATTAAAACACTCTTAACCCTTAACTGGTATCGTCGGGTCAAAATTGACCCGGCGCGCCTTCAGTTCGTCATAGCTTTGGGATTTTCGCAGCTATGTGGTGGGGGTTCCGTGATTTCTCAGACAGTATACGTATGCACATATACCGCAAAGGTCAGTTTAATTTGAGCGTCGCAAGTGTAGGTTTGTTTGCTTTGGAGTCAAATGTGACCCGACGATACCAGTTGCGTGTGCGTTTTGGACTTTCTTCGCAATGGATTTTTTCGTTATTGACGGCAAGAAATATACCGAAGAACAAGTACGTGAGTTGTTCTTAGACAGTGAAGATGATGGCGATATAAGTGATGCGGCTACTTTCGACAGTAATCACGATTCTGATGAAGAATACACCATAGACGACGCCGAGGACGACGCTGTTGCCGATCAAGCTGAAGAAGTTCCTGTGGGCGACTTCGATTTTGATGGCGGTGCAGACAACAGTGTGGACTCAGATAGCTCTTCAGATTTGCCACTATCATCCATAGGCTATGTTTATGGAAAGAACAGGTACAAATGGTCAAAACGAGCTCCTACAGCTGGTCGAACCAGACGACATAATATTATTACGCATTTACCTGGACTAAAACCCGTGGCAAGAAATTTGCAAGATAAGAACCCTGTCAACTACTGGTCTCTTCTCATAACCGATGAAATGATTAGCAAAATTGTGGACTGTACAAATGAGAAAATTACGGAATTGTCCAGCAAATATGGAACAACAGCTTCGTTTGTGAGTTACACAGATTCAGCAGAGATGAAAGCATTTTTTTGTTTGCTCTATTTGACATCAGTTTTCAAATCCAACCATGAAGATGATGAAGGTTTATTTGCATCTGACGGCACTGGTAGAGACATTTTCCGTGCTACGATGTCCCTAAAGAGGTTCATGTTTTTGCTAGTCGCATTGAGGTTTGATAGTATTTCTACCAGAGACTCGAGAAAGCCTGATAAATTTCGCCACATACGTGAAATCTTCGAGACATTCATTCAGAACTGTCAAAATTGTTATATTCCGGGTGAGTCCCTTACAATAGATGAGATGCTCGTGGGTTTTAGAGGCCGATGTTCTTTCCGTGTGTACATGAAAAGTAAACCGAACAAGTACGGACTAAAGATATTATGCCTTTGTGATGCAAAGACTCACTACCTGCTCAATGCTTTTGTCTATACAGGTAAATCAGAAAGTGTGCAGCCTAATCCAAGAAAGCTGTCAGTGCCTACCCTAACTGTCTTATCCCTAATTGATCCAGTCAAGAATACGAACAGAAATATCACGGCAGATAACTGGTTCACATCAATAGAATTAGTTGAAGAATTGCGCAAAAATCAACTGACTTATGTCGGCACGATGCGTAAAAATAAGACACAAATACCACAATATGTAGTCCCAAATAAGAAAACCGACCCAGGTACTTCTAAGTTTGTGTTTACTGGCACTACAACTTTAGTGTCCTACGTTCCAAAACCAAATAAATACGTACTGGTAGTGTCATCTATGCACCATGATAACATGATTTTATATTACGTATATAACCTCACAAAGGCGGAAGTTGATGCACTAGATCAGAAGTGTGCAAATTACAATACTGGTCGGAGAACAAGAAGGTGGCCGTGTGCTATTTGCTATTATGAATATAGCTTCTGTAAATTCCTTTATTTTGTTCCAGTCTGGGACTGAAAATTCTATGAGACGACGGAATTTTATTGTTCACCTAGGTCAAACTCTAATTGAACCTCATATGAGACGACGTTTATCGGAACCAAGGCTTCCTAGGGAGCTTCGCTCAGTCATGCAAAGAATCCTGAAATGTGACGACACGACGACGCCGACGAATGAATGTCAGCCGTCCACTTCTCAGCCCAGAGTTCTTGATTCTTGTGCAGTTCTTAAAGGAAAAAAACGACGTAGGTGTTACATGTGCCCGTCTCACAATGACAATAAATATTCTACGATCTGTAATAAGTGTAACCAGCACGTGTGTAAAGTTCACAGCGCAGCTACATTGTTATGTGGAAAGTGCCAAATGTGAGTGATAGGCTATGAAAACGTTATTGCACGTTTTCTAATACGAGACAGTATTTGTTTTTTCGGTATAGAATATGAAGACCAAATATGTTGTTTAATGGCCCATTATGTTAGTTTTTTGATAAATTCATACTTGAGTTGAAATTTCGTAAATTATATTGCATTACTCATTTTCAGATGCAGTATTTTGTTTTGATTTTGGACAATAAACAGTTTGAATGTACGAGTGCTTTATTTGTTCAAACATGTAGTATATTAGGCTAACAACTGATCAGTAATAGCATTTCGGAAGTTGGTAGCTTCAGCTTCTTAAAGTATCGTCGGGTCAAAATTGACCCGACGATACCAGTTACGTACGTAAAAATGACGATACCAGTTAAGGGTTAAATTGCACATCGTGTCACAAATGAAAATCTTGATCATATCAGGTAACACAAATTAAGTTATTACCTCGCATGGCTACCCTACTCTCCTTTATTTGACGTATAAGCTAAAACTCAAATAAAAATTAAGGTGAGTTTTACATAATATGTAGAATAATAGTAGTTCAAGATCCAAATACAGTAAATTAGCTGGCACACGTATTGACTTCAAATAAGTAAATGTTAATGTAATTTAAGAGTGAAGTACTAATTTGTGAAATACGTTACAAACTCCATGGCTTTATGATGTTTTGATCAGTATTTGCGTGTCTAGCATAGTATTTGATAACATTTTTGTCGTAGTCTTTAAATTCCACTTCTATTAGAATTTTCACTTGGAATTTTTTTTTGTTATTATACGATCGCCTTGTTAAAATATAAACAAAGCCCTTCCAGCGCCTCTATCGGTAATTAATGTAATTATTTTATGATTCGATGAAACATGTTTGACCATTCCGTGAACTAGCCGCGCGTTTAACTGATCATATCATTGAGCGATTCGTTATCATTGATGGTCAATTTTACAATATGACCACGACATATACAGGGTGACTTTGAAGTTGAGTCATTAATTTTCAGATAATGATTGTAGAAGGAAGATAAACCAAAATATGTGTGTAAAAATAAAAAAAAAAAATTAAAAAAATGTTACCTTGTTTTATAAAATATCCTCCCGACAAGTATTTCAGTGCGGACCTGTATTTGATCATGCGGTCTTGGAGCACCGGCATACCCTCCCGTGTGAGGACTTAAGTCACCTGATTCACGAGCCATTTGTACTACATTAACAAAGGCACTAGGGGTTGGTTGCACTCGATTGGGAAACCGATCCGCATAAATCCGTGTTGCCGTGGCAGCATTTTGTAAAATAAGAATCATGTCCACAAGTTCAGCATTTTCGTAAACATGTGCCATTTTTTATTTCGTTTGAGCCACGCAGAAACACCACTATTCACTCACGCGTTACCGACTGACACATCGAATGAATACAACTGAATAAAATAAATGAATAAAACATCGTGATAAGCGTTTCAAATTCTTTCGCTTTTTTGTTTCCGATTATATACGTTGTTGCCAAACACGAGCACATAATATTATTATTGAAACAGGGCGGTACTCAAACTTCTAAAGGGCTATAACTTTGTTACTTTAATTTTACCACAAAAATGTTAAAGGAAAAAACATTTCTTTTGATCAGATCTACTCACTGTTAAAATAAATGACTCAACTTCGAAGTCATCCTGTATGTACATCATCTGATAAAATGATCAATTCTCTATATGTTTAAAGAAATCTAACAATCTGATCAACTGGACACTGGAACAAGCAGAAAACACAGCACAGTCAGTGTTTGAAGTTGCTACTCCTGCGATAATTTTATTCAACCGGCCTATATCTACTATCGACAAGTTGGTGTGCAAAAGCTTGGATGTCGTCGAACATACTGTGCCTCAGATCAATCTTCCTCCTCAAATGGTAAGTTATATTTGAATTATAGCTACATGGTTATATTTCTATTTCAACAACAGGTTGTCCTAAGTTAACATCTTGTAGACGAACCTACGAAATGTCAAAAAAAAATCGTCGAATTGTCACTTTTCAAGATACGCAATACGCCAGTCGCTAATCCCTGACCTGCCTATAACTTGGAAATTACCGCTCCGATTTTGATGAAATTTTGGCACACTATTTTAAGAAAAACCTTTGTAGTTTCTGAAAATCTGTCCATGATGCTGGGGGCAAAAATAAGAAAAACAAAAATCACTCAACTTCGTTTTTTGACGTAGCAGAGGCTCCTGATTGCTGTCGGTAATTTTTTTGTAGGAGTTATAAGAGATGAACTTTTGTGAAAATTAAGACTTTTTGAAGAGCAGAAGTGTATCCTCAAAACTTTTTGAAAAGCTATGCTAGATATGCAAATGTTGAGGTCCAACCGGATTCTCAGATGAGGTGGTCCACGTCCCACTGAGAGTGCCCGTGGCAACGCTACCAGATGGTCGGTACTGCCGGTACGGGACTGTTTGACTGGCTTGATCCATATCTTCCATTTTATATATATATACGCGTAGTTAATATTTTTCAGAGAGGATATAACTCGTGCCGAGCATGATCCTTTATTAACTGAAGACGGCTTTACGTGAGAAGTGCAGAATCTACCTACTTGACGCCACTTTTTTTCAAGAATGTGGAGCGTCATCTAGGGTGAGGTGGGGGGCGCCCAACTTTGAATCGGAAGTGTTCATGTCGCTCTAGGGAATCTATGACCCACTTTGTTGCATAAAAAACGTAACTACAGACATACCTTAAAAATCAGTCGCCTATTCTGGTGTCATAGATGGCGCTTTGCGCTGTCTTATTTCGATAAACTATACCTCCGATAGTTAGTTGCGATGCTTTCGTTCGTTTGTCCAGAGACAAAAGACCAAGCCTAGACAATGCTGATGAGTAGCCAAGAAGCACGAAACACCTGACCTTGGATGGCTGTTTTTTTTTGGTCGGGCGGACGAACGCATCATGTTTTGGTTTTTAGACATACCTTAGTTCCGTGGACAATACCGAAATCACAGCGTCATGGTACTGGCGAGACAGACAGACAATTTTTTCACAAATCCTGGCGTGTAGAACTAGACACGATACGCTAAATACCAACGAAATCGAAATGTACATGGACTTCATTCAACTTCCACATCAAGCGCTCAAATATGATGGAAACAATTGTTTTGTCAGCGTGTCTTGATAAATATTTCAAAAGCTTACAGGTTCAGGGCGTCCAACGTAGACCTACAGTGATGGCCTACTCGAAAAGTTGACATTAGACATTTTTGAAAATTTGGGAAACTGATGAGGGAAATTTGGTTGAAATATTCTCAAAGTGGTGGCACTTCATGATGGACCGGAAGTAGATATCAACTTGCTTCTAAATGGAACAACCTCTATATTATTCATTTTTCAGATTCTACATCCACTTCATGTACAGGTATACAGGGTGGCCAAACACGTGACGTCATAAAAAAAAAATTAGATTCCCCACATCGAGAGGAACCCAAATCACCCCCATATGTATGGTCCGATTTTGTTTAGTTTAGGAGTTATGATTTTTTTTCGGATTTTTCGAGAATTTTTGAGTTCTGTGTTTATTTTTACCATAACTTCGTTAATAATTGTGATAAATGCCTGTTTTTTTCACGATTATGTAGCTAAGACCTAAGGCTTAACTATCATATAATCATTCAAGTCATGTAACTAATACTACTTTTTAATTTTTTTCAAAATCTTCGAACATAACAAAAAAGTAAAAAAGTGCAACAACTTTGAACGTTTATAAAAAATTGAAAAAACATGTTCTTACTATTCGTAAGTATCTTAAAAACTTCCTTACGGTATCAGCTATTTACCGTAAAAATTTCATCAACCTAGCTTTACTACATGCTACCGTAATTGTGGCTCAAATAGAACCGAACCCAAAATTGGATAACCCTCTGCTCAATAGAAATTGTTAGTTTCGGAAAAAAAATTTGCAAAAACCACAAAAACACGTTTGATTTTTACTGAACAGCAGATTATTATTCATTTATGTTATTTACAAGAGGTTTTCAAAATGTCTGCCTCTAACAGAAATGCACAGTGTACACCTACGTATGAAATTTTGTTTTGAATCTCTAAATGCTTGTGTGTTGTTTTTCAACACATGTGTCGCTTCTTGAATTTTGTTCCTCAATGAATTTTCATTTGCACATTCTTGGGCGAATGTTATGTCTTTAAAATATCCCCAAACAAAAAAATCAATGGGGTTGAGGTCAGGGGAGCGTGGAGGCCATCGTATCGGTCCGTTTCGTCCGATCCATCTGTCTGGGAACCTTTCGTTTAAGTAGTTTCGCACGATCGTTGCGTTGTGGCATGGTGCACCATCATTCTGGAACACCATGTTCCGTCTGGCTTCCAGGCTTGAATCTTCCAGCAATAATGGTAGGCTATTTTCAAGGAAGCTTTTGTAGGCTACCGAATCCAGCCTTGACGGCAGTTCAAATGGACCGATAAATTCCATATTGAATATTCCTGACCACATGTTCACACTAAAACGGTGTTGAAATGTCGACGGCCTTGACTGGTGGGGGTTTTCAACAGCCCAAGTATGTAAATTATGGATATTGAATATCCCTGTTCTTTCAAAACGTGACTCGTCAGTCCATAAAATTTTATCAAAAAAATCGAGATCCTCTCGTTGTCTTCGCAGCATTGTCTCGCAGAAATCCACTCTTAACTGGTAATCTGAAGGCATCAACGCTTGAACTCTTTGAACATGATAGGCATGACAACCTTCTTCATGAAGAATATTTTGTATCGATGTTCGTGGTATTCTAAGGTTTTGTGCCATAGATCTCGTACTCGTTGAGGGATTCCGGCTAATTTCTTCAAGTACTACTTCTCTGCGATCCGGATCAGCTGTAGGATATCCTTCATTGCTTCCTCGTCCTGGAATGCGGCCTGCCATGAAAGTGTTATGTGTGTTAATAAAAACACGGTGGTCTGGGTAATGCTCAGGTTATGGTCCGCCTCGGCGTATAAGTTGTTCCCGGTACAGCTGAGCATTACCCAGACCACCGTGTTTTTATTAACACACATAACACTTTCATGGCAGGCCGCATTCCAGGACGAGGAAGCAATGAAGGATATCCTACCGCTGATCCGGATCGCAGAGAAGTAGTACTTGAAGAAATTAGCCGGAATCCCTCAACGAGTACGAGATCTATGGCACAAAACCTTAGAATACCACGAACATCGATACAAAATATTCTTCATGAAGAAGGTTATCATGCCTATCATGTTCAAAGAGTTCAAGCGTTGATGCCTTCAGATTACCAGTTAAGAGTGGATTTCTGCGAGACAATGCTGCGAAGACAACGAGAGGATCCCGATTTTTTTGATAAAATTTTATGGACTGACGAGTCACGTTTTGAAAGAACAGGGATATTCAATATCCATAATTTACATACTTGGGCTGTTGAAAACCCCCACCACTCAAGGCCGTCGACATTTCAACACCGTTTTAGTGTGAACATGTGGTCAGGAATATTCAATATGGAATTTATCGGTCCATTTGAACTGCCGTCAAGGTTGGATTCGGTAGCCTACAAAAGCTTCCTTGAAAATAGCCTACCATTATTGCTGGAAGATTCAAGCCTGGAAGCCAGACGGAACATGGTGTTCCAGAATGATGGTGCACCATGCCACAACGCAACGATCGTGCGAAACTACTTAAACGAAAGGTTCCCAGACAGATGGATCGGACGAAACGGACCGATACGATGGCCTCCACGCTCCCCTGACCTCAACCCCATTGATTTTTTTGTTTGGGGATATTTTAAAGACATAACATTCGCCCAAGAATGTGCAAATGAAAATTCATTGAGGAACAAAATTCAAGAAGCGACACATGTGTTGAAAAACAACACACAAGCATTTAGAGATTTAAAACAAAATTTCATACGTAGGTGTACACTGTGCATTTCTGTTAGAGGCAGACATTTTGAAAACCTCTTGTAAATAACATAAATGAATAATAATCTGCTGTTCAGTAAAAATCAAACGTGTTTTTGTGGTTTTTGCAAAATTTTTTTCCGAAACTAACAATTTCTATTGAGCAGAGGCTTATCCAATTTTGGGTTCGGTTCTATTTGAGCCACAATTACGGTAGCATGTAGTAAAGCTAGGTTGATGAAATTTTTACGGTAAATAGCTGATACCGTAAGGAAGTTTTTAAGATACTTACGAATAGTAAGAACATGTTTTTTCAATTTTTTATAAACGTTCAAAGTTGTTGCACTTTTTTACTTTTTTGTTATGTTCGAAGATTTTGAAAAAAATTAAAAAGTAGTATTAGTTACATGACTTGAATGATTATATGATAGTTAAGCCTTAGGTCTTAGCTACATAATCGTGAAAAAAACAGGCATTTATCACAATTATTAACGAAGTTATGGTAAAAATAAACACAGAACTCAAAAATTCTCGAAAAATCCGAAAAAAAATCATAACTCCTAAACTAAACAAAATCGGACCATACATATGGGGGTGATTTGGGTTCCTCTCGATGTGGGGAATCTAATTTTTTTTTATGACGTCACGTGTTTGGCCACCCTGTATATTTGCCATACGATGTAATAAGTCTTTCTATTCCATTTTTGACAACGAATAGTACAGAGAGGTCAAAAAACATTTGAAAATTATATTTAAAAAGCCTAAAAAGTCAATTTATTAAATTAAAGCCACCTTTTTATAATCTTCCGTTACAACCGGAAGTGTCACCAGTTTGAAACATTTTAAACGAATTGCTCCCATCAGTTTAACCATAACTAGGGCTGACTTGAGACTTGTGTGCGTCCTGAGGCACAGAATAAAATATTCGCCTTCCCTCCACATTAGTTGAGAATTTTGCGCCCTCCTCCCCCAGTCGGCAGCCTAACTTTCGTCTTTAG